ATTAAACTTCCAATAGAGCAAAAACATCTTCACAGAATCTGCAAAATATCTGACATTTTGTCAAACACTGTAAAAAACATCAACCATAAACGCAGCAGCCTTAAAATGCCGGAATTGGCAAACATGCATAATCTCATTTACTAAATAATTTTTGGGCATCTGATTGATCTCAGTGTAGTGGTCAACACTCAGAGAGTTGTGAAGAGTTAATTTGTTCATCTGGGGTCAGCGATCATGTTTCTTATTTCATTCAATAAAATAAAGTTTGCGCTTCGTTTAAGGATGTAATTTTTTTTACAGTCTTCAGAGCAAATACATTTTTGAAGGAAGAATGTGTGACTTTTTGATCCAGTAGATGTCGCCCTTGAGCTCCAGCATGAAACCAAAACAAACTGTTTGGCCACGCCTCCTCCATCCTGAAGCCTCCGCTCTCCTCCAGTGTCACACCTCCAACCCCCCTCCACTCACGTTCACTTGAAGGAGTTTAGCACAAGCGGGGGACAAAACGGTCCTTTGCCTGTGTCCTGCATTGTTGTGTTAGCATGCTAATGTTAGCACGTAGCTTCACATTGTTGTGTTAGCATGCTAATGTTAGCGCTCTTTAGTTAGCTCGTAGCTTCACATTTCATGTAAAGTGACACAGAATGAGCGTGATCTAAAAACTCTTACTAACATCCAAATAATCAGTGAGTATGTTCTTCTTCTTCTCTCTAGTTCTTGACTAAAACAGCTTTTATACACAAGGGGAGGAGCCGGCCGTCCCGTCCATGTAAACACGGCTCTGACAACAACATTTATGTGGAACATGTCGCACATTCTTCCTTTAAACGACTTTAATACAGTACAGTGTAATAAAATAAAAAATAAGAGCTGTAATAAGTGCCGTCACATTTCCACCTTAGGAAAACCTGTGCAGTCAAAATCCAACAATGTACAACAACTTGTACAACTTTTTATGACATCACAAACACACAAGAAGAGCTTATCTATATGTTCATATTAAACATATTGCGGTTAATTCAATATAATTCCACCTCATAAAAGTCTTTTAACTTTGATCATTTAAAGCCGCTTAAAAAAACGCTCCACGCCACCAGAGGGCAGAGGAGCAGTTTTTGCATTCGCTTGCTACCTGGAACATCCCATCGGAGGGGCGTTTGCGTCCATGTCTTGTATATAATTCAAAATATTCAGCTCTGTTTTTGGTCACAGACTCCTGAGATAATCACTTGGCTCCTATTTTCTGCCTAAAAAAAACAGAAACTAGGAGCTAAAAAAGGCTAAACGGCTTCTCGCACCTCCTTTTCATTTATTATATTTATAAATGCAGCTTTAAATTCAAGGTTACAAGTCGTGCATTGTTCTATTAAATATTAGGAATATAGAATTCATCGACGTAGTATTGTCACTGTAACATTTCCTGAATTGTCTCGTTTCTAAATATTTGGCACTAAGGGACTAAAAAACACTGAGCAGACGATTCAGAAACTCCTCGTGTACACACACTGTGACGTTTGACCTTTGACCTTTAAACACTCGGCTAGTTAAAGTCCACAATAATACACATTTAAATGTCTCGGAGAAAAAGTTGATTTGAGCTACCTGTGAAAACGGAGCCAACTCAACTCTTCCTCCAGAAGGTTCTCTTGGCGAAGTATGAGCCCCAAACATGATTGGATTTATAAAACTTTATAAACTCAAACCCTCATTAAGTCGTACAGTACTTATTTATTATCTAACATGAGCCCCAGCTTCTCTTAATTTCCTGGTAAAAACATTTCTTTATCTTTCCTCTTAAAGGACTGACAGATTGATCAGTACAAACGACTGTTTTTTATTATTCCTGAAACTTTTTAACAATTAGTTTTTGCTTGATTTTAACTCATATCGAAGATTCCTCATCCCTCAAGAAGATCCCATATGAAGTCATTGGATCTGTTTTCTATGACAGAGTATGATGCAAGTAGGGCCCGACCGATATTATATTTTTGGGGCCGATACCGATATCAGGGAGAAAAGAATCTGATTCCGATATATCGCCCGATATCTTTTTTTAAATCTATGTTTCATCTGTAGAGATAAATATATAGATTTACACCTTGATTGTGTTGATCCCTCAGTCATCAAACACTTGTGGAAAAGATTCATAATGAAGACGAGATGGTCACTCAGCTGGAAAGTAACTGAGCATGTACGTGCATCACCACTCGACACTCTGCACAGTGATGATGCTTGTTGTAATCCATATAGCGCCCTCTGCTGGTGAAAGAGAAATTACTCAAATTAAATGCTGTTTGACTGGTGAATAAATCGAGTAATATCGGAACATATCTGAGATAAAATTAGAAGACTCCGATAGTCACTGGATATGCTAATATCGGCCGGCCAAATTATCGGTCGAGCTCTACATATAAGAACAAAAAGATTCAGAGAATGGAGTCATAACATTAAGAGAATAAAGTCTTAAATATTTTGATAATAAAATTAAAATATTTCAAGAATAATTTGTAGTAATAAAGTTGTAATGCTTGAAGATTACGTTGCAATACAACGCAAACAAAGGGTTAATACTTCAAGAATAATGTTGAGAGAAATTTGTATCGTAATATTTTGGGAATTATATTAATATATATATATATATATATATATATATATATATATTAATATATATAAAATCATAAGGGGACAAAGTCAAAGTCGTAAAATAAAAAAAACAATTAAATTAATTAAATTAAAAAAACAGAACAGTCATTATTTTATGATGAAAAAAGATCGTCAAAATAGGTAAAATAAAGTCAGATATTAGGGGAATACAGTCGTAAAAGAACAAAGTCATAATTTTGACATAGATTGTAAAATAACGAAAAGTTTGATATCAGGTCAATAAAGTCTTAAGAGAAAAAAGTCGTAATATTTTTGTGAATAAAGTCGCAATATCACAATAATTTAGTCATAATCTTCTGTGAAAACGCTGTGATATTTAGAGTTACGTCGTAAACGGGGGAAATTTAAGTATTCAGTTTGTTAATCTGGCACGAGCAGGTGGCTGCTCTTCTGAAATTATCCTTCAAAATAAAATACCAGCTAATACAAGCCTATTGTTATGCTTTTATTCTCTTATCCCCTCATACTGCATTGTAGTTTTTCTTCTTGCAGATCTATGATCAAATTAAAAAATATGTAACTCCATCCGGTCTGATTTAACAGTTTTATATGATTTATATTAACGTTATAAAACACTGGAGCCGTTTCCTGTTTCAGCAGCACGTTAGCTTTGAATCAAACGCGTCCCTGGATTATTCCGTGTTTCTGCACTGCTGGTTGATACAAGGCACTTAAACACTGAAGAGTTTTACTACAACACGATCATTTCACATTAAACTACAGGAGATTCATGCTCTTAATTTACCCGCTACAGTTAAAGCTGCACAAGGAAAAGTAATATCTGGATTCACGTCATTTTTAAGCTCCTAAACAATCAGCTGTTCGTACATGAATATTTCCTTCGAGGCTTTTTGAGCTGCTGATGGTTTTATTTTGACGTTTAAAAATATACTAAGATGTGAGGCTCAAATTTATTGATCAGGTTTTTATCGGATTAACGACTTTATCAGAATGAGTTCAGATTATTTAAACTAATCATTACATCATGTGGCTCCGCCCCTCCACCTGTCGATCAGGTAACCTGTGTCCACAGAGAGCTCACAACCTCCGTTTCAGAGCGCTTCTCAGCAGCGCTCATTGTTGCTAGGTGACTAGTTAACTTCTGCATCCCTCTGTAATGTCTGTAAAGTGAGTTTAATATTTGCTTTAACTCAAGGAAATATCACAAAGAATAAATGAAGACGATATAAACGAGTCCTGACGTCAGCAGCAGCTCTACTGGAAACTGATTCCTCGATAAGACGAGCTCCGCCATTGTTGTCAACAAAGCGAATCTTGTAAATCCCGCCTCGTCTTGATTCTGATTGGTCGGTGAGGTAGAAGGGACGCTGACGAGCATGGCGCTGTTCCAAAAGTTTAACTACTTTCAACTGAGAGTGTTGTGAGTGCAGCGACAAAATAGGGCGTTTAGCATTTAACTGTGTAACTTTTCAGAGGTTTAGTACAGACAACAAACAAAGTGAAGATAGGACTCTGAAAACTCTGAAAACATCACAGACAGTGGGACTCGGGTGTTACACCCATTGTAGACAGTCATGACTCACAGAGTTATTTTCAGAGGAGATACTGGATTTATATTACATTTAAGTGTGAAAAATCACAGAAAGACTTTAAATAGGCAGAATAAATTTCCTTTAAAGGACGTTTTATTCTAAAAACGTTTTTCAATAAAGTTTGATCCATTAAATCCTGTGCTCGTACAGCTCTAATGTAGCTTGATCGACATGACATGTCCTAGTTTTCTTTGAATGCATCCTTTTCGATTGTACTCGGAGTAAAACTCTTTAATTTACCTTCCGTAGTTTCCCCAGGTAAAAACATGGCACTGATATCCCGAGGTAACAATTGCAGGTGGATTAAAAAGAAACTTAATCAGAGTTTTTGTGCATTTGTATTTCTTAAAAAAAAAATCACAGCTCTTGTTTTAAATTCACGAGGCTTTTGTTTTTGTTTTGCTCTGACCTAAATTTGTTCTCCAGACGAGTGAAGTCGCAGGTTTGGTCACTTTTTTTGCAGCCCAAAAATCAGCCAAGCTCACATTTCAACAATAAGAGATTCACTTTGTTAGGTTGTCCAAACACTTTCAGCGATACCACGTCATTTAAAACGATACAATCTCAGTTATTTTAATGGATAGTTTCTCGTAATGTTTTTTAGAAAATAGCTGCGTACGAGAGGAAACAAACAAACTCCTGCACTCTGTGTAAATTGCACGAATACATTGGCAACGTTTTGAGGAGTTTGAAATCTTTATCATTGAAAACGAGGAACACACCCAGCATCTGCGGCTTAGGACTTCTATTTTTGTTGCCATGGTATCGACATCGTTTGACTGACTGAGCGCTAGCGTCTTTTATCAATTGTTTTCAATGAGTAGAGAGCGTTTGCAGCAGCAGGCGGGAACCCGGAGAAAAAGCACAGCGTCAAGCGTCCTTTTTACCGAGCAATCGCCTTTTTCGTGCTGCCACTTCGAGCACTCAAGTTGAAAATCTTTCAACCTTTCAGAAAGGCGCTGTTGACGCCACTTTTCTTTTCCAAATGAAGTTTTACGGGGATGTTTGTCTTGTACCCACATTCTCCTCGCGACCTCAATGACCCTCCACGACCTCAAATATAAAACATGCAGTAAAAAGTAACGGAGCAGTGTCGTTTATATAGCAACCGTTGTCAACAGACTGTTGTCATAGAAACATGACGGACGTCTGCCTGGAAAAAACGCCAGGTGGACACGGAGCCTTATTTACAATATTTTTAAAATACATCAGCTACATTCAGGTGGTTTTATACGTGATAAAAAAGGATTCTCTATTTGTTAAAAGTTGCTAAACTACAGTAACTCCCCGTGTGAATGAGCTCCTTCAGCTTGAACAGAAACACACCGTCTCGTTTACACACCGGGAAAGTCCACACATGACGGACATAAAAAATTATGTGTTTCAGGCATTAAACACGGAGAGAACATGAACTTATATCGGCTCGATGTCACTCATGAGCAGCTGTGAGGAGAAATGTGACTTTAAGATCTGAGAGTCTCTGTGAGCTTTTAGTCCTGAAGTCTGATGAACCTTCCCGCTGTTTTGATTTGAAAGTTTCATTTTATGTTAAAACTACTAAAGAACTTCAGCCCTTTCAAACATGATCAGATAAAGATTGGCATTCAGAAACGTGCGTTGCTGTAAAAAGTCTTCCGGAGCTCAGTGTAACTTGGTCCTTTAGCTGCGACTCACATGCAAACAGTTACTGAAGTATGAAATATTTCTACTCCGTCCCGTCGGACGTTTTCTGTTTCTCCTACAGTCTCACATCACAAACTTTGAAAAGCCGTCCCCCCGACGTCTGACTCTTCTCTTCACTCGTTTCTTGATGTGATATCCTGAAAACAAAAACATTCATTAGATACTCTTATGACTAAAGTCTATACAATGAAGCGCAACTACTCTGATATGGTTCTCACCTCCGTCTTCGCCCTCCGCCAGTCGCCCATCGGGCCCGACTTTGTCAGAACTGGAAGAAATCGGATCATCACAAAAGTTAAAAAACTAAATGAAAGGACTCACAGATACAGACCAAACTGAACACCTTTCTTTGATGCATCAATGAACAAGATGGATCAAGAAACTAAAAAAGCTGGTTATCAAAAAGGAAACTTGGCGGGTTACACCCTTTAAGATAATAGTGTCAATTTCCCCCCTCCTGAAAACACTGAGCAAATTCTGTTTGTTGTGATGAATGAAGATCTTTGGGTTAAAACAAAAAAACCTCCCTTTCAACCGACAATAATGTTTCAGCCTGATTCATGTGAACCTTACCCATAAATGTTGTGATCATCATGAACACGGTGGATGCAACCATCAGGCTCCAAAGGAAACATCTGAAGAGAAGAAAGGCAGAAACATAAAGCACAGTTTAGTGTTGAATCAAACTTCGACACATGGAAAAAGAGTTCCTGCTGTGGTGACGAGCTAAAATCCAAACAGAAGATCCCAGTTTCAAAACCAATATCCAAGTCCAAGACCATTAGAAAAATGATTAAAGGCAGGCTGATACTATGATTTCAGGCCGATTTGGACCTGATTTTTCAGTCATACATCTGATTTTGAATGTCAGCTCGACAGCATGTCGTTGTTTCGGATTGTATTGTATTGAAGTGAATAGGAAAATCCAATAATCAATAACTTTTTGGGAGAAATCAGTCACTAGAACTTTCTTTATCAATTAGGCTATTTTATTTTAAGGATATTGCTTTAGGGTAAAAAAAAATCTTACCCAGAGTATAAAGCAGTGAAGATGAAGATGGTGAAGACGAACAGGAGAAGGGCTTTCATCGTCAAACCTGAAACACAAATACACATAAAAACATCTAAAAAAAACCAGACAAAACAACCATAAAATTAATTAAATACAAGTTATTTCCATTGTGATAGACAACCCCAACTTTGGGCATAAGGGTCTCTCTCTGAATTCTGTAGCAGAAAAATCTTTGCAAACCTGCAGTTCCTCCAGTGTCCACTAGAGTCTGCCTTCTGCAGTGAGTCAGCCCCCATTGAGCCCCATGTTAAAAATGTAATATGATAAAACTAACAAAATGTTCACCATTGTATGATACTCAAATGTTCTTATCAATGAAGCCTGATGACACCAATCAGATAACTAATTTCTCAGCCAATAAAAAACATTGTTTTATATGTGGTGAATGAATGAAACTGCAGTTCCTCCAGTGTCCACTAGAGTCTGTCTCCTGCAGTGAGTCAGTCCCCATAGAGCCCCATGTTAAAATGTCTAACTTTACAGCTGCAGGTCCTCCAGTGTCCACTAGAGTCTGTCTCCTGCAGTGAGTCAGTCCCCATAGAGCCCCATGTTAAAATGTCTAACTTTACAGCTGCAGTTCCTCCAGTGTCCACTAGAGTCTGTCTCCTGCAGTGAGTCAGTCCCCATAGAGCCCCATGTTAAAATGTACAACTTTACAGCTGCAGTTTCAGTTTACAGATCGGTACAAAAACAGTTTTGGTCTCTAGAGCTCATTTCTCTCTTTAACTGTACGGGCTGAATGTTTATACAACCCACCTGTTTTATGTCCAAATTTTGCTATTTTGAAATTTGCTTTTGTTGTGCCGTAAGTGCATTTGTACTCTTGTTATTTTGAATATTTAAAATGAAAGAATTTAAAAACCCTGAAACAGCAACAAGCCAATCAAAACATGAAAACAAACAAACAAATGCATAGAACGCTCACCTGTGTGCTCAGGTGAGGCCTGACAGCAGCAGCTGTTGGTGTAGAAGGCCAAGGGAGGCGGGACTTCAGAGAGGCCGCCCAGTGACTGAGTGAACCGCTCCTTTGATTGACAGATCTCTGAACAAATCTCCTCCTGGATGAGGAGCTTTTGGGGCGGGGATTCTTTGTCAGGAGGGGGCGGGATCTCAGTATGGTCTGTAAAAGAAAGGAAAAAATCCAAACGCTTTAGTATAACTCGGGCTTTGTTCTAAGAGGACTGTAACAATAACAGTAAGCCCTATTTAGGCTGCTGTTTCATATTCATTTTCTGAGGAAGCTATCCTGTGGATGAAATCACATTTTCTACTTGACATCAATGTATTCTTGTTGACGGTATCATGTCTCTGTAACATAAGTGTGCTGCAGAGCGGTGTTAATGTTGGCAGCTTTTCTAGATTCAGTCTTCCAGAATTCAATTAGTTAAGGAGTACCACAAGGCTCTATTCTTGAGCCACTTATATTGATTGTGAAGTACCATAGCCCTGTGGAATGATTGTTTGCAGTACTTACTTCCCTGTTGAAAAAAGACAAAAGAAGCTTATTATTCTTAAATCTGTAATCTATGGGCTATCATCTGAAGACCATATATGCCTCATAGATGCCATGACCAACTTCTTGGTGTTTTCTGTGACGGTACCAGTTTTGTGGTGAGACTCAGTTTTGTGGTGAGACTCAGTTTATCTGTAAATAGTAAGTTACACAGAGGCTTCACTCCAGATCACTTCAGCAGTATGAACCTGAAAAACAAACTTTAAAAATGTTTGTTGAATGGGGACGGATCGATGTTTGTGATGCAAACAGCTTCAAATAGATTGTTTACTGAAGTGTAAATGTTTAAACTACAACATATAGCATTAGCTGCTCTGATATCTGTGATGGGAGCCAGGATGTCATTATGTTTGATTATGTTTGGTTTTGCTCTCCATATTGACTGTTATTCCTGCATACACCAAAGCCTGCTGATACGTGATTGGTCAATACTACTCGGACATGAAATATTCTAAAAACAGCAACCAGAACACTTAAAAACTTTGAGAGATTTGAGTGGAGATAGATCTGGAAACATCTCATCTTAACTGAAACTGACCGTAAGTGAAACTGCGGCTGTCATCCAGCTCCGTGCTGTTTAATCTGGACCACGACGACTCGTCCAGTGGGGCCAGGCCCTCCTTACTGCTCCTGGCCCAGTCCAGGTCCTGGTCCTTGACAAATTCTTGGTCCCAGCTCTGACTTTGGTTGTGTCCTGTCCCGAACACGCCTCTGAAGACCTTCTCGTCCAGCCAGGACTGGCAGCTCTCTGTCACGTCGCTCAGCAGGCGAACCAGTGAGTTGCGAGGCCGCCGCCTGCGACGGAAAACCCTGCGACGAAAAATCGACAAAATAAGATCCTGACGTCTCATCTCCTCCTGATAATTATGCTAATTTTGCTATATCAATACATTTCTGCCGCCTTTTCAGTGTTGAACCCATAAACTGTACGTAAAAAGGAGATGTAGCCTCTCGATCTCAAATTAAGAAACAATTCAGAAGTGCCTTAGAGGACGATTGTTGTATTTTACAACCCTGGCCCAAAGTCTGTGGCCGACTAAATTATACAAAAAAGATGTGCATTGTGCATTGCTGCAGTAGATTGTTTCAACCAGCAGCCATAAACAGGCCTGAGAGTTTAAGTCCACAAGATCCCTTTAGACTCCGGTTTATATAAAGTTTATATTCTAAAACCTGCACTGACCTGACCAGGTTCTCCTTGTACGACACGTTGCTCTTGCAGGGAGACAGAGACACGTTGCCCTGGTCGTCCCAGGAGAAGCTGTCCTCCGTGACGCTGTAGTATCCATTGGTGAGGAGGCGTGGCGAGCGGCGGCAGGAGCACGGATCCCCGCCCTCCATGGACGAGTGAAAGACATAGGAGGAGTCAGGAGAGAGGAGGGACGTGTCGAGGCTGAGGGAGACACAGATTTCAACCGGTCAGTGTGTGGTAGACGAGTATGAAGCCAGTCACCTCAGCTGTGAAGATACTACAGGGGGGGTGTCAGGTCAAAATTCAACAATACGAGTTCAGGCTAATTTCAATCTGTAGTCCCTCACACAAATACAAAATTACACAAAACCATAATTACAAGTAAAAAAAATCTGAGACTTGTTTAAAGTAATATCTGACATTTAAAGTAACAACAAGGAAATGTTCTAAGCTGACCTGTAAATAACATCTTGAATATTGGATTTTAACATTTCTTGCTCTGACAAGGCAAATAAGTAATCATGATTGTAGGATTTTGGGGTGGCCAATAAGATGCTCAAGGGGGGTCCTGGCCACCCCCCCTGGACACGCCCCTGCTCACAGCCAAACAAAAGCATTTCATCTTTCTTCATTGGAATGAATGATTCATAATTGTGTTACTGTAAATCAGCAAAAGCAGAAACAAAGAGAAAGAAGTTGAAGTTTTTTTTTACCTCTGACAGGACTGATTGGAGCGAAGCCTTCGCTTTATGGGTGAACCTGAACACAAGATATCAGAAAAGATCATTTACGATATATTTACACTCAGTTAAGAAACAATGTGTGTGTCCTCTGGAGTAGCTCGGTGACTTTTGTTTCAAAATAAAGACGACTTGACTCGTATCAGCTTGAAGAGCGGAGAGCATTCCTCAGGTCAGCCTGGGAAACCACTTGAGTAAATTTACTCTGCTGAGAGGAGGTGATGTAACGCTGATAAACACTCTGTAGGAATGTGACGGGAGCTCATTGGCAGGGGCGTGTCCAGATTATTTGGACAGGCCCAACTGGAACACTGACTTGTGCAGGGGTAGCCTGAAGTGTGATGTGAAGAAAATATTAATTGTTTACCCCTTTCAACCTTCACCAATAATATCTACTTTATAACACAAGATAATGGCAACATTAGCTTAATTCTTTAATGACACAGAAAGAAGATTTATGCTGAAAGTCCCAATTTAAAGGACTTACAAATGTGCATGCAAACTAACTTGCAGTGTTCATTGCAAGTTAGACAGAGTGCATCATTTCCCCATGCACCCGTCTTATGAAATAGACGTTTTTATTTCCAATTTTAAGTGCAAACAAAAATAAATTTGCTTCATCGATATGTCAAGAAAACTACAAAAAAAAAATCGCATAGCCAATCACAGTTTAGGATTGGGGTGGCCAATCAGATTTTAAGGGGGGGCCCATGCCACTCCTGGCCATGCCCTCCGGACTCGCCCCTGCTGCCTGCCGTCTTTAACACATGTTCGGTAATGATGAACAGAGAGGGCCCACAGTTTTTTGTTTTTGTACACATAATCATTCAATCCAATCCTAAAGTGTTTGCAGCGTGCGGTTCAAATTCTATCTTAATATTTAAGATATATGGATTTGAAGACTTTTTGAGGACGTTTTTCTCAGATTTAAAGCCTTTGCTGTGACATAATTCCATACTTGAGATGATTTTTAATCGAAGCTGCACGTCCTGCAGACTCATCAAATGTTTGCAGATTAATCGGGCTGCACAGAGACGATCTTTAATAAGACTTGCCCAACTCTCAGGCACCAGAAAAAGAGCAAACCAACAAGAAGCATCCGTTAGCATCCGTTAGCATCAGACAGGCTGACAAACGTGCTGATAAAAGATGTGTTTGTGATGTCTGACGTACTTGTAACGGCTCCGGAGAAGAACAGAGACATGTTTGTCTGCAGCCGAGGGTCTTCTGTCGATCTGTGAAACACATCAGAAACACGACACCAGCAGTGAGAAACACACCCACTTTTCTTTCCTCGGTCAGAAGACCAATAGCAGCAGAGTGAGCACCTATCCACCATGAGAAGAACGTTTACATTAAATCACTCCAGACTGTCTCCACACATCTGGAAAATGTGTCCAAAAGAGTGTTCACAAACCTTACATCTCATGCTCTCGGCAGCCCAAACAAAGTAAATAAACATCTCCTAAAAATAAGGTCTACTTAAAAAGCGCCCTCTAGAGGCCTGGAGGTTTCTGTGGCGTCCATTGTTTGAGTTTGACTGCTTTTGTTTTGCATTCGGAATGTAAACCTGGAAATACAATAAAAAAATCAATACAAAGGGGCGAAGAAGATGGCCTAGCGGTTATGTTGAGCCCCATGTAGGGAGGCTATCGACCTCCAAATGGGCGGCCCACAATTCATACCCCATTCTCTCTCTACCCCAGATTTCCTACTGTATCCACTGTCCTTTCCAAATAAAAGCAGAATCTTAATGAACCTTGATACAAGTACCCGGGCTGGGAATCTTTAGGTGTCTCACGATTCGATTCTTGGGGTCACGATTCTGCTCCATTTGGCGTTCCACTGAGTTCAAGAGCTAGCATTAGCACCTAGCAGGGAGAACCTGATTAACCCAAACATGTTGTTTTTTTTTAAATAAATTTTTGGAAGTTTTGAATCAATTTTAAATCTTAGATGGCGGCTGTGGCTGATGTGGCGGCTGTGGCTCAGTTGGTAGAGCCGTCGCCTCTCGACTGAAAGGTTGAGGGTTCGATTCCCAGCTGAGAAACATGTCCGATGTGTCCTTGGGAAGACACTTAACCCCGCATTGCTCCCGCTGCTACTGTGGCGGTGTATGAATGGATTAGTGTTGTACATACTTTATGATGTACGTGGCTTTGGATAAAAGTGTCTGCTAAGTGAATTGTGGAAGAGAAAAATCTCAATTTTTACATAAATCAATTTTTGTTCCCACCTCTAACAAATATGGAAAATGTAATAAAGAAAAATAAATACTACACTTCTCACAAACTCACAATTGATACTTTTTTTTGTATCCAAAAGGGAAAACCTGACAGCAGGCAAAAACATAGCGACCCCCGATGGCCCCCTAACTCCATCAGTAAAATGATGCGAGGCAACAGATTAGGGGTTACCAAACGGTCAGCCGACCTCTGTCTTCAAGGCAACAAACCGATACTCAGCAAATAAAGAGTAGCTTCTCTGATATTCTGGTTACTCAGAGGTTGGATAGTTTAACAGAAAACACATGAGAAGGATTCAACTCATAATTTTGATTTTTTTTTTGACTGTTAAAAAAAGTAGAGGAGGGAGAAGCAGAGACTTCGTCCTCCCTGCTGATCGACTCTCCGTTAACTTAACAAACCTCAGACACTTCTGGTAATCCCTGCAGAGCTGATCAGAGCCCTCCCTGGATTAACTGCATTAAGACTCTCCGGGCTTTACATCGCTCTACTCCACGCGGATCAGAGGGCAGAATAATTAGCGGGAGTATTTAAGTTTTTAAAAAACTCACAGTTCAAACTTTTTCCTGCTCAGACGTCGTCTTCAGCGGTGGGTGAAGTGTTTTCGTGTTGTGGTTTTCTCACATCCTCAGCGGCCTGAGAAAAAAAAAAAACAGAAGAAGAGAAGAAAAACAAAAGGGTTGTGACTCTGAGCTCATGTTTCCTGTTAACTCCGTGTGCGCCAGCAGGAACTCAGACAGCGGCTGAAGGAGGCTTTGAGTTCCTGCAGCGGTGAGCTCACATGTTGTTCCCTGTGGCTTCATGAGGACGGTGAGACATCAGGAGCACAGAGCACAGATCAGCAGCTGTCTTTGAGTCCGACTCCTGTTTGCATCATGACGCTGCTTCACTTTTAGCCTGGAGAGATCGCCACGGCGACCAGCAGTCGCTGCGGGGGCCTACCTCGTGGAATTAAATGAAAAACTGCTCTTACACTGACCAATCACATCTCTGGAAAAGAGAGTTACAGCTTGTGCATGTGACATGTCGGCGCTTTCACAAATGCCCAAAACTCCTGAAAACTTTCTGAAAACTTTTCGAGGTGTGAACCAAAATTTGTAACCAGCACCCTTTTTAAATTTTCCCTGTATTGTCAGGGCGAGCTGATGTGAGCACGTCAGAATGTCACACCACGACACACTCACAGGAAGAATGAGCGACATGTTACAGATAAATAAATCATAAAGTCTGTCCTGTGTAAATGTGTCTCTGAGTCCTGACTGTCTACAATGAGGGAGAAGCTCGAGTCCCGCTGGCTGTGTTGTTGTCAGAGCCGTGTTTACATGGACGGGACGGCCGGCTCCTCCCCTTGTGTATAAAAGCTGTTTTAGTCAAGAACTAGAGAGAAGAAGAAGAACATACTCACTGATTATTTGGATGTTAGTAAGAGTTTTTAGATCACGCTCATTCTGTGTCACTTTACATGAAATGTGAAGCTACGAGCTAACTAAAGAGCGCTAACATTAGCATGCTAACACAACAATGTGAAGCTACGAGCTAACTAAAGAGCGCTAACATTAGCATGCTAACACAACAATGCAGGACACAGGTGACTGCAGCTACGAGACAGAGACCAATTTTGCCCGCCGCTTGCGCTAAACTTCCCGTGTGACAGCGATGGGGAGGGAGGTCGGAGGTGTGTCTCTGCAGGAGAGCGGAGGCTTCAGCATGGAGGGGGCGTGGCCTAACAGCAGTTTGTTTTGGTTGCATGCTGGAGCTCAAGGGCGACATCTACTGGATCAGTAAGAAAAAAGTTGCACATTCTTCCTTTAAAAGATGGAAACTGGGATTTAAAACATTCAACATCTCTCCTTAAAGATCTCCTATTTAAACAAGAAGCACAACTATTTTGCACGGATGGCGGCCGCTTTTTGTGCCTCTGTGTCCGGAGTGTAAAAATAAACCTCTGTATTTACAGATAACATGCCCGCAAACACAAGTTCCTCTTCAATGCGTTTGTCTGAAAATGACAAACGGGCAAAGAACCCAGAGCTTTGTGTTCGTTCATAGAGCAAACACAGAGAGGAGGAAATGTGCTGAGAATTCAAGATCAGGTCTTCTAGTCGAGCCTCCGGACAGAGACTCTTGTTTCAGAACAGGAAACAGGAGGAGGAAGGGGGATTTCTGTTGTTAGGGGGATTTTTGTGATGTTTGTTTCTGATGTCTTTATTTCTGTATTCTTCTATGGATTCTTCTTCCATGTCATGTTACACAAGAGTAAATATGACAGCAGCGCCGTCATAATTACTCCTTAAAGTCTTTATATGCGTCAAAGCTTCAAAGGCTCTCGGATGCTGAAGTCACTGAAAATGCCCGTCCCCAGATCTCATGTTAAGGTTTGAATCTCTGCATGCATGGTCGTCACATATTTGAATTACGTGGTGAGAAAGGAAAAACCAATATGGTTTATATGATGATTTAAAAAAAAAAACAATCAAATCATTTAAATGTATCGACCACAAAATATAAAGAATGAAACTCCTCCTCCTGCTTCACTTCTGTTTGTTGTTTTTTAAAAATGTCTGTAACTCCAGTGTCTCCGTCTCTCTTCAATATGAGTGAGGCTCCATTCATTCAATTAACCCCCCCCCCCTTTTTATGTCTCATATGGACTCTTCCAACCCTGTTTTTTTTTTTTCTCCCAGCATGCCTTGCAGCAGCAGCAGCCCTGTCTCTGCTGGAGCTGCTGATGCTGGAGGAAAATGCGTAGCAGGAAACACAGAGATGGATCAAACCATTTCCCCATCACCATCAGACACACACACACACACACACACACACACACACACACACACACACACACACACAGGATTACCTGTAATGTTGTTTAACTGCCATTAAATCTACTTTAACAGCTTTATTAGTATTTAAAGTTAAAGATTGTTGCTCCTTTCATTTTTTGCATTGACAGCATTACACAGTTATTAAATAAATAGGCCTACATCTGTATTTATATATTACACTGCTGTGGGCTGGAAGAAAACAATTCTCTTCTTTAACTCTGCAGATACATGAAGAAAATAAAACATAATATTTTCATCTTTAACTTCTATATATTTTTATATTATCATCGGTATTCATTAAATCCTTCAAAGTAGGGTTACCCTATGTTGATGTCAGTACCACATTGTTAATATCACACCTTGTTTTAAAGTTAAGCCTTAAAATGAGTTTTAAAGAAAATGTTTTTCACAATAAAGTGAGTCCTGCATGTGTCACAGTGTTAAATTATGGTTTTTATTTTGGTACATTAGCTAAGGGATTCTTTTATTTATCGTATGGGGGATTTAATGAACATGCATTCTTAAAAAGTGAAGTTATTTTACATTTTCTGCACCAATAACAGGAAATCAGAACGTTTTGCGATGGTTAAAAAAATGTCTAAAATGCTAAAAACAACAACAAAGTGCTCGTTTTTATATTTAAATGTTTTGTGATAAATCCAGACAAAGAAAGAATAACGGACAGAACTGAACTCACCGGATCGTCGGATTGTTTCACCTCCTCAGGGTTTGTTTGTGCTTTTCAGCCGGAAGTGAATTTAAAACCGTGAAGCCATCAAACTTTTCATCTCGTCAGTTTTCCTCCTGACTTTACTTTTTTTAAAACCTCGCTGTTCTTCCTTCAGGACGATAAAAAAAACACACTCAGACAGTCTGCAGCTGTCACAGGAGCCCCACCCACACACCGGAAACACCAGCGGCTGTCAGAGTAACACGCTAAACACGCTGTTTCCGCTCACTGCTTTTCAAAGTAAAAGCGTGCGTAGTGTTATTTCCAAGAGTAGTTTTAAAACGACGTTGAAGTAGTTATATTATGTGTGGTTATAATTATTCGATATCAATATTCTAAATATTTTTAATGTCAAATAAACACAATGTATGTTTTGTATTGATAAATAAATATAAATTAAATGAATGATTACATATCAATATATATCTTTACATCATTTAATAAGTTCAATGCTTGCATGGATCAGTTTAATTTATGAATTGTAAATAGTGAGTAGCAATATCTCACACAATAATGGTCTCAGCTCACTTTGATATTTGTTCGTCATTTTATTTTGAAAAATGGTTGGAAATGTACAAATTGTCTTTCTCACAAGTTGAACCTTTGACAGATTTAAATTTATTCTATTGATTTGTCTTTGTTGTTGTTTTAAATACCTCTTCTTCTGAGTTCAGACTTGAGCTCTCTCATTCAAATAAATGACTGAATAAAGTTTGGAAGATCTTTTTTTGTGCTTTAAAAAAAAATCATGTACACTGAAATATCAGATCAAACTTTAGATTAAACATCCATTTAAAACACCAAATGGTTCTTTCTCTGTATCATTTTCTTCATTTTTCTTTAACTAGAGAACAGATAAGGCAGAACAATAATATTCAGTATTTTCACTAATCCTGTAAAACATGAAAAATCCTGTAAAACATGAAAATATTTCTCCTTCCTCTTTGATCTGATTATATTCAACTATCAAACAAACACTCAGAGCACACACACGTTTAAATCTTCACGTCAGGTCAGGTGAACAAACTTCATCATGAGCAGAGATAGCCTCCATAGCTAAACAGACGCAGGAAGGAGCTCCAACTTAAAAAAAACAACAGCCTTAAAACACGACAACAGAAATTTAGACGTCAAAGTACCGCCCCTAATGTTTGATTGACAGGTGATCTGTGTGCAGTGAGAAACAACAATGAGCTCTCAGCTACAAGCAATCAGACTAAATAAGTTTAAGAGTTTAAACACAGACTTGAAGCTTCTGTCCCTGAAATGACTTCTGTCTATTTCAGTTTACACAACTCAGCAGTGCCTTTAGAAGAAAAAAAAAAAAATTTATAAAACCCGAGTCCAGCATGTAGAGGCTGAGTGAATGTGGTCTGGACTCTGTGGAGGAGAGTCATGGTTTCAGAGATGTTGTAGAAGGACAGAATACCTGCTCTGTGATCCAGGTACACTCCTACTCTGGAGGACTGAGGACCTGAGACATCAGTGCCGAATTTGTTGTACCAGAAGTCATAACTCTTGTTGTAACAATCTAACGCCCAGGATTTGTCATTGAGTCCAAACAAACATTCATCTGAACTCCCTGCTCTGCTGATATTCTTGTATGCGACTGCTACAGAAACTACTCCTCTCCACTCCACCTCCCAGTAACAACGACCAATCAGACTCTCTTTACTCAGGACCTGCCAACAATTAGTGAATCTGTCTGGGTGACTAGAATAAAACTGTTGTTCTCTCATATATGTTACTTTTCTGTTCCCATCAGATAATAAAAGTTGTGAGTATGTTGTATTTGGATCCAGTGTGATGTCACATGAATATTTTAAGAACTCAGCTCTGGACTTCGGCTCTGGTTCTGACAGTAAAACATCCACTTCAGTCACTGTCTGTGAGATGTTTCTCCAGTTCTCTCTCGCCACGTCCTGTAATTTATCTTTGATTTCTGACACAGCCGCTGTCACATCCTCAAAGTACCTCAGAGGACGGATCTTGATGCTGGATGAGTCTGTAGATTCACTGAGTGGTGACAGTGAGGGGTAGTCGTGTAGAAACTGGTTGTGATCTTCTGTGTGTGAGAGCTTCTTCATCTCAGCGTCTCTCCTCTTCAGCTCAGTGATCTCCTGCTCCAGCTTCTCCTGAAGCTCTCTGACTCGACTCACTTCAGTTTGCTGCTGGGATCTGACCTGCTGCTTCACATCAGAGCGTCTTTTCTTCATGAGACGCATCAGCTCAGTGAAGATCTTCTCACTGTTCCCCACTGTTTTATCAGCGGAGCCATTGATAGCATCCACCTCTTGTTGAAGCAGCTTCACATCTTTCTCTCTGTCCTGGATTCTCTGCTGGATGTTTTGTTGACTCACCTCCAGCTCTCTCTGCCTCTCGCTCCTTTCTGCTGCAACTGAGACTGTGTCATGACCTTTGTGTTTGTCCATTAAACAGAGATTACAGATAGACTGCTGATCAGTACGACAGAATATCTTCATCACCTCATCATGATGAGAGCAAACGTTCTCCTGGAGCTTCTTGGAGGGCTCCACCAGCTTGTGTTTCTTTAATGGAGGTACTTCAAAATGAGGCTGGAGGTGTTTCTCACAGTAAGAAGCCAGACACTGCAGACAGGACTTACAGGCTTTCAGTTTTCTCCCAGTGCAAACATCACAGGCCACATCTTCAGATCCAGCATAGCAGTGATCAGCAGGAGCAGCTTGGAGTCCAGTCTTTTTCAGCTCCTCCACTAAATCTGCTAACATGGTGTTTTTCCTCACTACAGGTCTTGGTATGAAGTCCTCTCTGCACTGAGGGCAGCTGTAGACTCTCTTCTCATCCTCTGTATCCCAGTGGCTTTTAATACACTTCATGCAGTAGGTGTGTCCACAGGTAGTAGTCACCGGATCCTTCAGGAGTTCCAGACAGATGGAACAGCAGAATTTCTCCTGGTCCAGTTGATTTCCTCGCTGAGCCATTTCTCCTCTCAGTAACAACGAATGCTTGAGTTTCACTTCCTCATAGCTGAGACTAGTTTCACCTCTGATCTACAAAACATGCGGCTGTGCAGAGAATGTGCAGCTCTAGTTGGTTACACCCATCCTGAAACTGTAGATCTAATGGAGAGGGAACCAGGAAGTACCAGAGACAGAGTGCAGCTGGCTGTGTTTGAGAGCAGGAAGAGGGAGGGTTGATCGAAGTAAGATTCATTCCAGGAAGAGGAGTAGCGCTGGTTCAAACTGTGTAAAAACAGCAGAGCAGGTGACAATAATAGATTGGTCAAAAAGTGTATGAAAGATTCACAGGTTTCAGAGTAAGCTTCAAGACAGGAGGATTGGGGGATATTAAGAATACTGTTAATAGAACTAAAAAGAACACAGTGTTTATGAGACCTATTCACAATAACATCAGAAAAGTTTTTTTATTCGTTTGAGCTTCGACAGCTTTCTGATATCTACACCAGTTTTCCTTAAGAATCTCATAAGAAACCTGTAGCTTGTCTTTTTTCCAATTGCTATAAAGAGTATCACCTAAACGCAAAGGTGACACCTGCTGGAACAATTTGTGTCTTACACTTCCTACTCCTAAACATGCCTCCTACAATATGTCTATCTGAACAAAAATGGACCCTGTAGCATTAAGCCCCTTGGTGCCAAATAAAACACATTCAGGGACACATGCAAACTACTCACAAATTATTGAAAAGGTTGGTCAAGTGTTTACCTCCTTGATACATAATACGTTATCAATGGTCCACCCCAAAAGAGCATTTGTTTTAAATATATATATTTACAATATATTATAAATTCCTGCCTATTTACAGAGGCATTTAAATCTATGTTGCATGAAAAGTTTTACCCATGTAGATTAATGTTAAAGGTCATATATTGTGCAAAATACACTTCAACATGTTTTTCAAACACTATTATGTGTGCTTATTTCGTCAACAAACCCCTCAATGATGAGAAAAGTCCATCCTCTCTGTCTTGTGCCTGCTCCACTTTTCAGAAAATGTGTGCTCAAACAGGCTGTTTGGAGATTTTCCCTTCATGACATCACAAAGGGCAGTAACCCCTCCCCCAGGTGGGTGACACTCCCACAGCTAGGTGTTTGTGCTGCCCTCTGAGTCTGCCTTCTCCCCGTAAACAATAGGACATGGAGCGAGAAAGCACCGAGTACACCCGAGCCCTTCCAGAGAGGGGGCGTGGTCAGACACAGCTCATTTTCATATTTAAAGGTACAAACACCGAAACAGCCTTTTCTGAGCAGGGCTTAAATACAGGGGTTTATAGGCATGATCGAATACAGAATCAGAGTGGATTTAGAACAAAAAACTTCTCAGACATGTTTTAGGGAGCTCTGAGACTTTTAACTTGTTGAAAAGGAGGAGAATATGTGACCTTTAGTAACATGTCATGTCAAAATGTTTTTTAAAAAGCCCCAGATCTTGTAATGTTTACACACAGAATCTATGTTGCCATCCCATGCTCCTTGGCGGCAGCAGCTCAGTGACATAATGCCTCTGTACATAATGGAAGATTCTCTTCTTGGCCCCTCCCCCCATCATGAGCCCTTCTTCTCTTCGGCTCTCTTTAAGAACAGATACAGGTGGTTTGTGGGGACAGTTGGTTTATGAGGACATTTAGCTTACAAACAGGCTTTTTCCTAAAATGTACTTTCCCTCTATCTTGATAAACCCTCTGCTGCCACCCCTCTCTTAATGAGCCACTTTACCTTGGATTTCCTTTTTTGTTTTTTTTTTTGTTTTTTTTTTATTAATCTGCCTAAGGGAGACCATGTTCCCGTTTGCCTAACTTACATGGACCATGTTCTTCAATCAATCAATCAATCAATCAAGCTTTATTCATATAACACACTTTTATACAATTCAACGTGTTTTAAAGTTATTGAAAAACAAGAAAAACAACAATGTGGCTAAAAATGATACAAAGATGAATTCATTTAAAAATAGACTAATTCACACCAATAATGATGAAAATTACAAAACCATTCACAATAGCTAGACTGAATAGATATATTTTTCAGTTTACATTTAAAGGTATCAATATTTGTTTCTTGTTCCATCTCTGTATATTGTGGGACAGGTAGGCAACATCAATTTCAATTCTCTTCTTTGCCCCTCCCCCCATTCATAATGAGAATATTGTCAGCATGATAATATTGTCAGCATGAAATCATTTAGGTTCATATGTTAACCATTTTTTTTGTTAATTGATTTGAAGAATGTGGAAGGACTATTTACATTATTCCTCTGTACAGATTACAAGAATGACGTTCATATTTAGTTATTTAATAAGTTGTGTTTCAATGCTTGCATTCAAAATGTACATGTATCAGTTAAAGTATTACATTTTCACTAGTGAGTAGAAATATCTCAAACAATAATGGTCTCATCTCACTTTGATATTTGTTAGTTGCCTTATTTTGAAACATGGCTTGAAATGTACAAATTCTTTTGATTTGTCTTTGTTTTTTTGTTTGCTTTAATTTTTTAATCATTCTGTCTGACAAACTAATCACAGTCAATCTGATCAGAGGTTTCTTTTACACAAAGTGCAGCAACAACATATATCTCAAAAAGAAGAGAAGAAGTAGTTTGGATTGAATGAACTATTTTACCCTGAAATACAAAAAGTTTGATTTCAACTACAAAGAAATTACAATGAGGGATTCATTAAAAAAAAGAAAAACAGTGTTCTGCTGAACAAACATCATCATGAGTAGAGATAGCCTCCACTGCTAAACAGACACAGGAAGGAGCTCCATCTTAAAAAACCCCCCCTCAAAACCCAACGATAGATATTTAGACTTCGAAGTACCGCCCCTAATGTTTGGTTGACAGGTGATCTGTGTGCAGTGAGAGACAACAATGAGCTCTCCGCTACAAACATGAAGACTAAATAAGTTTAAGAGTTTAAACACAGACTTGAAGCCTCTGTCCCTGAAAGTCTATTTCAGTTTACACAACTCAGCAGTGGATCCAAAACCATAAACCCTGAGTCCAGCATGTAGAGGCTGAGTGAATGTGGTCTGGACTCTGTGGAGGAGAGTCATGGTTTTAGAGATGCTGTAGAAGGACAGAATACCTGCTCTGTGATCCAGGTACACTCCTACTCTGGAGGACCGAGGACCTGAGACACGAGTCTTGACATTGTTGTTCATAAAGTTATAACTGTTGTTGGAACAATCGAACGCCCAAGATTTGTCGTTGTATCCAAACAAACATTTATTTAAGCTCCCTGCTCTGCTGATATTCTTGTATGCGACTGCTACATGAACTCCTCCTCTCCATTCCACCTCCCAGTAACAACGACCAATCAGACTCTCTTTACTCAGGACCTGTTTATAATCAGTGAATCTGTCTGGGGGACTAGAATAAGATTGATGTTGTCTCATTACTGTTACTTTTCTGTTCCCATCAGATAATAACAGCCGTGTATGTGCTGTGTTTAGATCCAGTGTGATGTCACATGAATATTTTAAGAACTCAGCTCTGGTCTTGGGCTCTGGTTTTGGCAGTAAAACATCCACTTCAGTCACTGTCTGTGAGATGTTTGTCCCCTTCTCTCTCAGGACGTCCTGTAGTTTATCTCTGACCTCTGACACAGCCGCTGTCACATCCTCAAACAGCCTCAGAGGACGGATCTTGATGCTGGATGAGTGTGTAGATTTACTGAGTGGTGACAGTGAGGGGTAGTCGTGTAGAAACTGGTGGTGGTCCTGTGTGTGTGAGAGCTTCTTCATCTCAGCGTCTCTCCTCTTCAGCTCAGTGATCTCCTGCTCCAGCTTCTCCTGAAGCTCTCTGACTCGACTCACTTTAGTTTGCTGCTGGGATCTGACCTGATGCTTCACATCAGAGCGTCTTTTCTCCATGAGACGGATCAGCTCAGTGAAGATCTTCTCACTGTGCCACACAGTTTTATCAGCAGAGCCATTGATAGCCTCCACCTGACGTTGAAGCAGCTTCACATCTTTCTCTCTGTACTTGATTTTCTGCTGGATGTTTTGTCGACTCACCTCAAGCTCTCTCTGCTTCTTGCTCCTTTCTTCTGCAGCTGAGACTGTGTCATGACCTTTGTGTTTGTCCATTAAACACAGATAACAGATAGGCTGCTGATCAGAACGACAAAATATCTTCATTACCTCATCATGACGAGAGCAGATGTTCTCCTGGAGCCTCTTGGAGGGCTCCACCAGCTTGTGTTTCTTTAATGGAGGTACTTCAAAATGAGGCTGGAGGTGTTTCTCACAGTAAGAGGCCAGACACTGCAGACAGGACTTACAGGCTTTCAGTTTTCTCCCGGTGCAGACATCACAGGCCACATCATCAGATCCAGCATAGCAGTGATCAGCAGGAGCAGCTTGGAGTCCAGTCTTCTTCAGCTCCTCCACTAAATCTGCTAACATGGTGTTTTTCCTCAGGACAGGCCTCCGTGTGAAGACCTGTCTGCACTGAGGGCAGCTGCTGTAGACTCTTTTCTCATCCTCTATATCCCAGTGTCTCTTAATACACTTCATGCAGTAGCTGTGTCCACAGGAAGTAGTCACCGGATGCTTCAGTAGATCCAGACAGATGGAACAGCAGAATTTCTCCTGGTCCAGTTGGTTTCCTCGCTGCGCCATTTTTCCTCTCAGTAACAACGACTGCTTGACTTTCACTTCCTCAAAACTGAGACTAGTTTCACCTCTGATCTACAAAACATGCGGCTGTGCAGAGAATGTGCAGCTCTGATTGGTTACAACCATCTCCAAACTGTTGAGAAAGGGGAAGGAACCAGGAAGTACAAGAGACAGTGTTTTTTCGAGCGGGAAGAAGAAGAGGGAGGGGCGATCGAATTAAGATTCATTCCAGGAAGAGGAGCAGCGCTGATGAATTCAACTTTGTTTCCTCATTGACAAAGAAGCCCAGGTTAAAAGCAGCACCATGCTCCTCTCTTCTGTCCATGGCTCCATATTTCTTTGCCTCTTGGATTCCTGTTACTGATAGTAACCTTTAACTGTCATTAAACCATGAAAGACATTTTTATCACATATTGAACGGAGGTTTTTGAAACATGATCCGCCTCAAGTCATCTTACAAAAGCAATAAAACAGTGTAATGTGATGGGACTTGCAATATGTACATTGTTCCGCCTATGGGAGAAGTAATGTGTTACTTTCCAAGATGTGTTTTGAACCAGAAGAGTCCTTTAAGTCTTCTCCCTGATGATACAGCTTTTATTATTACCATTATTAGGATTGATTTTCTCTCTATTGTCCTGCTTTGAGACACCAATGCAGTTTGACATGACAATTATTGTGAAATATTCAAACTTACAAGACTCAAAAAGGCAAAATTATGAGAAAGAATATCGTTGTAATGAGATAGCGAGTCGTAAGTATGAAATAAAAGTCCAAATTGTGGGATAAATAACCAACATTATGAGACAGGACATCGGAATTATGAGATCTAAAGTTACAATAATAAGATAGTAAATCATAAATGAGTTTAGGGGGAATTATGAGATAATTAGTCAATTTTATATGATATAAAGTGAAAATTAAGATACAGTTAAGATAAAAACGTAGAATTTGGAGATTTAATTTCAAAATTATGAGATATTTTATCGTAATTATGAGTTGAAAGTGAAAATTAGGAGAAAATAAGTCTTAATTGTGTTAAAAAGTCAAATTATTGAGATAAGAAGTGAAAATCTAAGAGAAAGTAAGTCATTGATATGAGATTAAATGTTTAAATTGTAAAATAACAAGTCACAGCCTAATTAAGAGACAAAAAGTCGAAATTATCATGTAAGTTTTTCCCCTTTTTACTCGTGGAAATGAGCTTCCACGGCTTCCGTATCACATCTGTAGGTGCAGAAGAAAATGAGATTTCCCTACTGCGCTCGAACGCATCACCGGTGTGGTTTCTACGGCAACGGCTGACAACACAGAGGACGATGGTTTACAGTAAGTTAAAAACGCTAACCGCTAACAAATAACTTGACCTACAACATTTAACTGCATGTTTACAGCCTCCAGTAAACACTGTGGTTCAAAGTGTCCGGTTGACTTTGTGTTCAGAGTGACAGCTGTGTAGTTTCAGAAGATAAAACCCACAATCGACGAGTAGCATTAAGTTCTTTCACATCCTGGTGTTATGGTGTAAAGAGTGACCGTGTTAACTGGTGACTCTCAGCCGAATGCGTCTGTAGCTGTTGTAGCTACAACGTAGTTTAAAGATGGAAAGTGTGCCAACGAATGTCTCTTTATGCAGTTTTTATTATTATGTCAAAATACTCATCAGATATGTCGTTGAAAATAGAGTTAGGACACTTTCTGTTGCAACTACGAAAAGGCTTGAAGTCTCCAGATACCACGGTCACCATTTACACCGTAACACTGGTAAGCTGGTTCGTAATTAAACCGAATTATTTGGGGTGTTTTTGCTATCTCTGTAATTATTAACGTTAACGACGGTAATGTTAAGCTAAATAAAATAATTAAACACATCGTGTTTGTTCATCAACGCAGCCTAGTCTTGGTTAAAATATGTTACTATAACCTCAGATAGCTTTTTACTGCTACTGCTAACCGGAAGCTTAGTGGAAGCTAAAGCTAACATTAATATGTTAATAATATATAATGTATTATTATTCTCATCATATATTAACTATTATTAATAGAATTTGATCATAAAAATTAATATGCAATTTAAAAATGACAAATTTTAAGGAACAAAATGTGATCAGGACTGCAGAAGAAGATTGACAGCCCTAATCTGAACTCTTCTTTTACTCTTCAGTTCGGTGCGGTGCACATTTATTGCCATTTCCACTGTCAAAAGTGAGGAAGGGTACCAATATAAACCGCTCATGCCGTCCAAGCGGCCACCTCCAGGGTTGAAAAATTAAGACAAGGCATAAGTGAAAAAACAAGGAGTTCCTCGAGTGTCCACTAGAGGCTGGCTGCAGAAGCACCAGAAGTCACATACACACCCATTAAAATAAAAGCCTGTTTTTACAGCATAAATTAACATGTTTACAGCCTGGTTCAAAAAAACAAATAGGTCTGATTTGTTATTGTCTTCACGGGCACTCACTGTACGGCGGTGATTTTGATAACTCATCCTTTTTGATTTTATGAACAATTACAAGTTATCCATAATAAGACGCGTAGCTGACACGATTGACAGGGTTTCCAGCTGCTGCCGATGGGACTTCAGCGCCCCCTGCAGGAACAGTCGAGTGACGTCTCTCAGGCTTCGTCTATTAGTAATCTATAGCAATCAATGGTACTGTCATACATTTTTTGCTACCTTTCTGTCGATGTACCAAATTTCCCGATCCGACCCTAAAGGGTGGAGCTCGACACACTGCAGTCCGTTGATTGGTCGAAAGAATCGTCACATTTCCAGATGAATTGTGGAATTTCAAGCAAGATCAGAGTTAAGCGGCGCACTTGGTGGAAACTCGGCTTTAGAGTGCTGTTCTGTTCGTCCAGTCACAGAGGAGATGGTGCGTGGACGGGCCGAGCACAACGAGTGTGAGATCTTCTCCCTGGAGGAAGTGTCTCTTCATCAGCAGGACATCGAGAGGATCGAGCACATCGGCAGGTGGTGCAGAGACCTGAAGATCCTCTACCTGCAGAACAACCTCATCCCCAGGATAGGTGAGACATCCATCACCAGCAGCTCCACTGAACATCCATCATCTCCACACATCTGCACAGTGTGTTTATTCACTGAACACAGCTCTGACCACACATTCATAAAACTGTCATTTCAAACTTGTTGACCCCCTGCTGTGACTTTTATCGTTGACGCCACTGTAGCTGAAACCAGTGAAAACTGTCTTTTATCTCCAGAGAATCTCGGCCGCCTGAAGAAGCTGGAGTATTTAAATCTGGCTCTGAACAACATCGAAGTCATCGAAAACCTCGAAGGTCCGTTTGCAAGAACACAGGCGGGGTTCTGGAGTATTTGTTGATGCTTTAATCAGGATGATGTCATGAATGATTATTTGAGTTTTAGTGCTTTCACAACTGCAGAAAACTCCTGAAAAACTCACATGGAGGAGCTGCATGTTTGAACGCTAACAGACACACTTTACCCGGAGTTTCTCCTGACAGCGTCAATGTTTTTTTTCTGCAGCAAGTCCGAGTCAGCTTATGAAAGAAGGCATCGGCATATAATAAGGAAATGAAAGGGCTACTTTGTAATAACTTCAGGGCCAGGGTGTCCTGAAACTTTCCAGAGATGATTCCCTAAAGACTGTTTCAGATGGAAGTTGCACAGTCATCTATAAATCCTACAAACTTGCAGCATTTTACCCGTTGGATTTTTTCTCCCCTGTCTTCAGGCTGTGAGAGTCTTCAGAAGTTGGACCTGACTGTGAACTTTGTGGGTCGTCTGAGCAGCGTGGAGTCCCTGCAGTGCAACGTCCACCTGGCCGAGCTGTTCCTGGTGGGGAACCCCTGCACTGAGTTTGAGGGCTACAGGCAGTATGTGGTGGCATCTCTGCCTCAACTCAAGGTAGCCAATCAGCTGACCGGCTCAGATTTAGTTACTCTTAAGTGGTGTGACAACATGACAGAAAAGACCCCTACAGAGAGAGAGACTGTTGTGCTTTTTATCAAACCCAGACACAGCTGTTACATCGCTCTGTTTACAGTCTCAAAACGACATTAAGAAAAGCAGTTTTTTGACCTCTGGAGTTGTCGGAGGGAGTCTGGGCTCAGCCTCAGCGCCACCTGGACGCCTCCTTTGGAGGTTTTCCAGGCACGCCCAACTGGGAGGAGACCCCCGGGGTCGACCCAGAGCTCGCTGGAGGGATTATATATCCCGTCTAGTCTGGGAAGGATTTGGAATCCCCCAGGAGGAGCTGGGAAACGTTGCTGTGGAGAGGGAAGTCTGGGTTGACGTTATGCGCCTGCTGCCACCGCGACCTGACCTCAGATAAGCGGAAGAAAAATGGATGGATGTTCCGCTTTTATTGTGTGTTTTGTGTTTCAAACAAACACTGTTTTCCAGATAGGATGGGCTATTTTTCCATTTTTTTAAGATACATCGATATATTTCCATACAAGATATCAGCTATGACAATATCGTTGACGTCGATATAATTTATGCTCCGCCTCTCTCTCTCTCTCTCTCTCTCTCTCTCTCTCTCTCTCTCTCTCTCTCTCTCTCTCTCTCTCTCTCTCTCTCTCTCTGAGCAAAACAACAACAAAATCCACCTGCATCACAAAATCCAAAGCTGGGTGTGTTTTGTTCTGCAGGAAAGCAACGCTATCCAGATAAATATCGTCTGCCACCATTCAGCTAAAAAATGATTTTGAGCTCCTAGTTGGAGCCAAATTCTCAAAGTTACACACACAAATGAATCGTTCGGTGCACGAGTAGAGCGGCGGCTCCTGCGTTCTGTCAGGTCAAAATGTATGTTTTCTTTCTGAATGGAGTTCGTCGTGTTTGTGGAGAGTGACGTGACAGCTTCTTGTTTCATCTCCCTCTTTGACAAAAAGTCCTTCCTCTCCTCTCTGTAGCGTGGTCAGACACTCATCTCTCCTGATATTCACTTGATTATGTCGAGCATATGATTCCTCCTCCTTCAGTTCCTGGACGGGACGCAGATCAGCCGGTCTGAGCGCATCCGAGCCTCTCAGGGACTGGAGGAGGTGAAGAGGAGAGTCCGGGAGCAGGAGAGGGAGTACCTGAAGACGAGAGCCAGGGAGAAAGAGGAGGCGCGGAGGAAGGCTGCAGGAGAGGAGAAAGGAAACGAGGAGAGGAGGCC